TGGCAGATTCGAGGCCTGATTGGTTGGAACGCTGCTGAGGTGGAGGTGATGGGGGAAGGGTGGACGGTTCGAGGCCTCATTGGTGGAAGCCTGAGTGAGGTGGCAGTAGTTGGGGGAAGGGTAGCGCATTCGACGCCTGATTGGTGGGAGCCCAGCCGCGTCGCGGAATGTGGCGAGTCAAGACCCCATTGTGAAAGCCAGCAGGGGGCTCACCGGCTCGTGTTTCGCGCGTTCGGCGGTGCTGTCCGCGGCTCTCCGCGGCTCTCCGCGGCTGTTAAACCACAGCCGTGGGAGGGCAGCGGTGGAAGGGCGGGAGCTGGAGGAGGTTGGACTGAAGGGGTACTGGGAGGGCCGTGATGGTCTGTTTTGTAAAGACCGGGTTTGGGTCCTGAATAAGGAGAGGTTGGAGTGAGAAGGGGGGAGGAGTTGATGCCTGATACTAGGTGAAAAATGTCTTCGGGGAAGATCGGCTGGGGGTGTGGGGATTGGAATCCCTTTGGGATTGAGAGGACTGAATAGGGGTAAGGAAACGCTGAGGCCTTACCGGGAGGGAAATTTTTATCTAATTTGGGCTATGAATGTCTTTGCAGCCTCCCTAAGGGGTGGCATTTGAAATGACTTAATTTTAGGGGGGCCAGTTTGCTTTGGACTTCGCTGATTAATCGGCAAGGAAGCCTGGTGAAGCAGGTTGAGGGAGGTGAGAGGCTTCGTTCCTCTAGGGGTGCTTTGTGGGGCGGAGGGCTTATAGACTTACGGGCTTAATTCTCATGCCTCAGCCTCCCGAGTATTGCGACTGTAGGCAAGTGCCATTGCCAGGGCTCCTCTAGTTTTCTCATCCAGGGAAAGCCTGCAAAAACACAAATTTAAAATGCCTCTCATGCCTCCAGTGGTGGTGCACCCCAGTAATCCCAGTACACTGGAAGGCTGGAGAGGCTGAGGCAGAAGAATCGCAAATTCGAGTCCATCCTGGACAATTTAGCGATTTAACAAGACCCAGTCTCAAAATTAAGAAATAAGTGAGGCTGGGGATGTAGCTCAGTGTGAATACATTGGATCAACTGCCAGTTCTGGTGGGCAGGCCAAAAAAACCCCAAACAAACAAAAAAACCTTTCAAAGTAAGGCTTGAGCTTGAAATTAGGGTAAAGCGCTGGGTGTGGGGGAGCAGGCGTGTGTTCCCAGCACTTGGGAGGCTAAGGCAGGAGGAGCACTGTGAGCTTAAAGCCAGCCTCAGCTACAAAGTAGATTCAAGGCCATCCTGAACTGCATAGTGACACCCTGTCTCAGAAAGATACATGAGAGTGAAGCAACTGCCCACAGATAAATGCAGAATGTAGAAGTATCTCGTTGGTTCTAAGTTCTGATTTTTCGAAAGTATATCTTTGTCTTGACTACAGAAATGGACAAGCCCGAAGAAGAGCCTGGCCCATCTGACCGGTTACAGAGTCAGGATGACTGGTGAGAATTGAAAGTTCTATTTTCTTTTAGTTTATTTTTAAATTTTGTCTTAGTTTAGTCTTACTGTTTTGGTGAAACAGCTTTCTCAAAAAATATGTTTATTTCATTTAGAATCCACAGCGTATAAGTTGGCTAAATCTTAAAATGAGAATTGTAAAAAGGATCCGAGAAGCTGGAGTCCAGCCTCCTGTACAATGCACGAGTCTTCTGTATATTTCTGTTAGTGGCCTGGCAGTCACAACTCCGTGAAGCAATATACTGCATTAATGAATGTGTGTAATTTTTAGAACGTTATTTGTTCTGATGAAATTTAGACCTGCTGTTATCTAACTTCTATCCCATTGTTGATAGTGCTGCTCTCTTGAGAGACCTAGATGGAGTATTTTTTTCCCCCTGAGATTGCAGTAAGTTTTTTTTTTTTTTTTTTGGCACTTGGAATTGAACTCAGGACCTTGTGTTCGGCAGTCAGGCGCTGTGCCACTGTGCTATATCCCCAGCTGCAGTAAGTTTGTTTTTCTTCCCCTTTAGATACTGGGGGTTAAATCCAGAGGTGCTCTACCACTGAGTTATGCCCCTAGCACATCCCCCCTTTTTTCTTTGTGTTTTTGAGACAGGATCTCGCTATGCAGTTCAGGCTGGCCTTGAACTAACTTTGTAGCTCCTGGCTCGAATTGGCACATGCCCGGCACCTAGCTCTTTTTTACTTTTATTGTGAGAGTCTCACTAAATCACCCAGGCTGTACTTTTAATCTTCCTGCACCAGCCTCCTGGGTACTGGGATTACAGGTGTATACCACCGAGCCCTGCTACAGGAGTTGTGGTGTTTTTTTTTTTTTTTTTTTCTGGTACCAGGAATTGAACTCACAACCTTGTGCTTGCCAGGCAGGTGCTGTGCCACTGAGCTAAATCCCGAGCCCCCTACAGGAGTTATTTGAAAATAACTTTCTGTCTCTTCTAAGTGGTCTCTCTTCTAAGAGCAGCGCTGTTTTCATCTCTCACAGACAGGCATGGAAGTGTACCTTATGGAGGAAGGCACTAACCGTAGAACAGAAGTCTGCAAAGAACCTAATACATATGAAAATTTAGTTTATGATAAAAATGTTCTCAGATCAGTGGGGAAAAGATGGATTAATCAGTAGAAAATTTGAGGATAATTGGCCAACCACTTGGGAAAAATTGAGTTGACTTCTTAATGTATAACACATACCAAAATAAATTTCACATGGTCAAATATTTAAATATAAAAAAATGAAGCTACTAAAAATGTCACAAAAAACAAATTTTGTTTGCAATGATTTCAGGATGGGAAAATTTTCTGAGTTAAATGTCAAACAAAAGACAAAGATGGCAAATAAAAGAACTGGAAAAATACTTGCTTTATGTTTGATAAAGGGTGTTTTGCTTATAAAGAACTTTACAAATAAATAATTGTTTCAATCTGTTTTTATCTTAAAATTTTTTTATTAGTGCATATTTGCCGTACATAGTGCTTACATTTATCATAGGGAATTTGTACCTGTACATAACATATCTTGGTTCTTTTTCCCCCCATTCCCCTCCCCTCCTTTCAGTCCTTCCTCTCTCCGATTAGAGAAGCTTTGTTTCTATTTTTTTCTTCCATTCTTTGTTTTTTTTTTATCTCTTTCCCTCCCTCTGCCTTTCCCTTGTCCCCCTTCCCACTGAACTTGTTCTTCATACTTCTCCATTGTGCTCCTCGTTTTCCTGTAGAGTTCTCATACAAGAGAAACAATGTGATATTTAAACTTGTGTGTCTTATTTATTGAATCTTGACTTTTTGGTTTGTTCTTCTTTTGAGACAGAGTCTCACTGTGTAATTGAGGCTGTCCTGGAACTCACTGTGCAGTCCAGGCTGGCCTTCAACTTGACCCTCCTGCCTGAGCCTCCCAAGTGCTGGGACTGTAGACTTGTGCTGCCATGCCTGGCCGTGAATCCTGACTCTTCATTGAACAATGTGCATAACAATAATAAATAATTCCAAGTCTTTACATAGTTTACCTAACCAGGGGTGGGAGAAGAAACACATAAGCTAGCAATTTTGGCTATGGTAAATGTTGTGATGGACAAAAGGGATGATCCCATAGACATACAGAGGAGGGCAGATATTATCGTACTTACTTTTCACCATAGCCCTAGGAAAAAACTGTTTCTTTTACAATTGAGGCCCAAGAACTTGATATTGTAGAAGTCTAGGTGAGAAATAATGGTAGACTGGTGGGTTGTTAATAGTGGGGAGACTTAGATAAACACACAATATATTATAGTTTATCAGTTGTTCTTTTTGTATTTATTTAGGTGCTGGGAATTGAACCCAGGGCCTTTGCACTGCTCTACATCCCCCCCACCCCTTTTTGAGATAGGGTCTTTTTAAGTCACTAAATTGCCCAAGCTGGGCTAAAACTTGAGATCCTCCTGCCTCAAGTTCCAAGAGTGCTAGGACTGTAGGTGTGCTTTTATTCTGTTATTTTTGCAGTGCTGGGGACCCAGTCTAGAGCCTTGGACACACTAGCAAATGCTCTCCCACAGAGTTACATCCCCAGCTCAGTAGTTCCTCATTTCTGGAACATCATTTTGCATTGCTGAAATTGGCATGCAGTGTACATTTGATGGCATATCTTAGTTTGGTAGTTTTTTTTTCTAAGAGGTACATAAATGTCTTAGGTGAAATATAGAGGTGGGGCCAACAGGTTTGCTTATAGATGGGATGTGGGAGCTAAGGAAAAGACATAAAGGATAGCTCCCAAGTTTTTGGTTTACTTTAACTGCATGAATCATGGTGCCATTGACTGAGATGGGTAAGACTGGAATAGGCACATAGTTGAGGGAGGAAATCTAGAATTCTGTGTTGGCTGTGTTATATTTTAAATGCTTCATAAATAAAGACCCAGGATGTCAAGACAGCTGGAGTTCAGTGGAGAGCTCAAGGCTATTAATAAAAAATTGAGGGGCATGGGGTTTAGCGATAGAATGAATGTCCAGGAAAGAAGAAAGCAATAACCCAGCACAGAGTGCTAGAAGTGCAGCAATAATAGCCTTAAAGCCAGGTGTGGTGGTGCAGGTCTAATCGCAATACTCAGGAGGCTGAGGCTGAGGCAGGAGGATCACTGAGAGTTCATAGCCAGCCTGAACTATATAGCGAGACCTTGTCTCAGAAAACAAAACAAAACAAACAAAACAAACAAAAACCAGCCTTGAGAATGCTATAAGGGAAGTGATGCAAAGTACAAAGAAAATGGTATAGTGGCCTTTGACAGTGTCAGGGACACTGTGTTTGTTCCCTGTTAATAACAGAGAATGCAGAGCCCCGTATGGTTGCAGATAGGTTGGTAGAGCGTCTGTCTGTCTTCTCCCAGTACCCTATGAGGTACCAGTATCTGCCTGTCAGCAGAGTGAAGGGTGAGGGGCATGGGACAGTCTGAAAGCAGAAGCCAGTATAAGGCAGGAGATGGAGGACCAGTCAGAGCCTAACAAGTATTCTTTGATATCCACCTGGCTTTTCTAGCCTAAGAATTTTGGTTTGTTAGTGCTGTAACAATATGACCTTGAGGAAACCAGTGCAGTGGAGCTAACCTATAATTCCAGCTACCCAGGAGGTGGAGGCTGGAGGATTGCTTAGCCAAGAAGTTCGAGACCAGGCTAAGCAAAAAAGCGAGACGCCCAGCTCACAAAAGAGATAAGCAGAAAGATAGCCTTGATGATATGTGGAAATACTGGTGGTAGGGTTGGGAGTTTTTTGTTGTTTGGATTTTTTTTTTTGGTACTAGGAATCGAACTTGGGACCTTGGTGCTTCCTAAGCAAGGCCATATCCCTGGCCCTGTTTTTTGTTGTTGTTTTTTTTTTTTCTATTTCAAAGAGCTTATTGAATGTCATTCCTGCATCACATTTAGCGAAGAAGAGTAATTTTTCCCTGATGGCATACTTTCATTTAATATTACATATATTGTTAATGTTTTTTGTAGTAAAAATACAGTTAAATATATATATATATATATATTTTTGGTACTGGGAATTGAACTTGTGACCTTGCACTTACTAGTCAAGCACTTAAGCAGCTGAGCTATATCCGCAGCCAATTAAATATGAAATTAGTAAAATGTAGCATATAAAACTTCATGCTGAACAAAAATAAGTCCAAAAAGTTAATCGTATACCCATAGAATAGCTCTTGTCGTATACGTTTCTTATGTAAATCATGTTTAAATACAATTTTAAAACCACGTTTAAATATTTTATAATTTGTTAACTGCAGGCATCCATAGTTTTCTTCTATTATTTAATCTGCTCCTTTGATTAAATTGGTAACATTTATTAGGATCCACAGAATGCATTAAAAAAATAGCAATTATTTCTCAAGGTTTGAGAAATCTGGTCCACCTTTAGCGTAGTTTCCTGAGATTTCTGCTCCGCTGAAGTCAAAACCAGGATTTTCTTTCTGGAACCTTTCCAAGGAAAATGCAATTTTCTTTCTGCATTTGGTGTTGCACCCAAGGGTCAGCAGCATATTCAGATTCTAGAAGAGAAGTCCAGCAGTTTGCTGCATCTCACTTTGTCTTAGTGAGAACAATGCAGACCATTTTTCTGTCCTCCAAAGTCCATGTTCCTTCATCAGCTATTGAATCAAAGAGTTTGCCCTTTAGGATCTCTTGGCCACCCACAGCCAGCGCCACATGCTGGCTCTGCAAGCCACACTGGATGTCCTGCGCACGAGTGCCCGGTGGCACCTGAACTTCAGTGAATACCTCCTCCAAGGTCTGGTACCACTGGCCCCGCAGCCTCCCACACGGAACCACCCCACTACGCTCCTCAAATGGGGCCGACATACTTCCTGTTGTTTTTTTGAGACAGGGTCTTGTTGTGTATTTCAGGCTGGCCTTGAATTCACTTTGTAGCCCAGGCTGGTCTTGAACTCACAGCGATCCTCCTGCCTCAGCCTCCTGAGTGCTGGGATTACAGGCTTGCGCCACCACACCTGGCCAGAAGCAATAATTTTGTACTACTTCTTCTAGATCTTTCTCTGTAATCATGTGAAAGCATATATAGTCTGTATAGTTCATTGCCCCCCTTCCCTGTAGTTTAGCCTGGCCTTGAACTTTCTATTTGGTCCAGTCTGGCCTGAAACTGGTGATCTTCCTGCCTCAATTTTCTGATGGGGATTATGGGTATGTGCCACCATGGCTGGCTATTGCGCCCCATTTTGGGCCTGTCTCTGTTGCCCCCTTTTTATTTTTTATTTTTTGTTACCCTCATTTTATTTTTTTTATTTTTTTATTTTTTATTTTTTGGTACCAGGAATTGAACCCACAGCCTCATGCTTGCAAGGCAGGCGCTGTGCCACTGAGCTATATACCTGGCCCTGTTATCCCCATTTTAAAGAGAAGATTTGTTTTGGATCCTTCATAAGATTTTTGAGCTGGGTGTGGTGGCACATGCGTGTAATCACAGCACTCAGGAGGATGAGGCAGGACGATTGCCATAAGTTCGAGGCCAGCCCAGAGTACAAGCAAGACCCTGTCTCAAAAAAACCAAAAACCAAAACAAAACAAATCAAAACAAAATAAAAAAGATTTTGGGGGGATTTTTTTAATGTATCTTCTTTTTTTTTTTTTTTTTTTTTTGAGGTACTGGATATTGAACCCAGGGCCTTATACTGAGCTACATCTCCGGCCTCTTTTGAAACAGGGCTTTTCTAAATTGATAAGTTGCCCAGGCTAGGCTCAAACTTGCTATCCTCCTGTCTCAGCCTGTCAGGGTTAGAATCACAGGTGTGTGCTTCCACACCTGGTTTTTTATGTATTTTCAAAGCTTCCTAATATATTTTCTTAGTCTGCTCATAGTAGAGTTCTGGTTAAACCAACTCTTCCTGCAGTGAATATATTTTCTAGTAACAATAACGTGAGCCTCCTGTTCATTATTGTCTAGCCCAGAATTTGATATTTTGCCTTTAGGGATTAGGGTGGGCTCTCTGTCATGTAACTTTTTTGGTCATATTTCTAATTACTTGTTCCTTCTGCCTATGCTCTCAAAAAATGTGTATGTGTGTAAGAAATAGATGAGGTAAGAATCACTTTTTAGTTTGTATATAGTGCTACATTCTGATAACAAAGGGTTTTTTTTTTTTTTTTTTCCTGATAACCAAGGTTATATTGACCCATAGTTGAAAAACCAGTAAGAGTTTGTATCCCTGATGAAAAAAACTTGAATAATAAAAGTGTACAGTGATTGAAAAATAGGAAATTTAGTCAAGGAGATGAGCCAGCTTGTACGTTTCTTTGTTGTTATTGTTTTGAGACAGGGTCTCAGTATGTAGTTCAGGCAAGCTTTGAGCTCACTGTGTAGCCCAGGCTGGCCTCAAACCCACAGTGATCCTCCTGCCTCAGCCTCCTGAATGCTGGAATTACAGGCATGTGCCTGGCTGCCAACTTCTATCTTGAAAGGCTGAAGTATATAGTTAGTTCATTATTGATCTCTAGGTCAAACTAAATATCCTAAAGTGCTTGTGTCTCTTTATCTATAAAATCTAAACTTCCTTGTAGCTATTATGTCTACTTCCTTTAGTATTTTCATCTCCTCTGTGATAACTAATGATAAGATCACCTGTGAGGTAGCCAGCCTTCACCAGTAAGGCTGTTATTGCAGCATGAGTCCTCTGAGCTGAATTTTGGATGTGTGAAATGAGGAGCTGATAACGGTGTATTTCATACGCTGCTGTGTGGTGAGCTGAACGGGCCTGAGCAGGAATTTGCTTTGGCTTCACTTCAGGCAGTATTGCATAGTTATCTGGTAAGTTGTAGCAACAGACGGAGTGGCCCGCCACAGGGCAGTGGAAATGAGTGCCGTGGCTGCTGGGCAAACGTGAGGCAGACAAGCAGGAGATGCCGACATTGTGGGTTCACCGCAGGCAGCAGCCGTGGCTGCATTCTTTTTATTTCATTTTTTGCAGTTCTTGGCATGGAACCCAGGGCCTCACACATGCTAGGCAAGTACTCCACCACTGTGCTACATCCCCAGCCCTGAAGCCACTCTTTTTAGTATTTATTTATTTTTAATTGATAGTAATATGTAGACTGTATGTGATATGATATTATCCTTTGTAGAAAGATTCAGGTGAGTGAACGTATCTCACCTTTATGGGCTCCTTATGAAACAGACTCAAGTACCTGTCCATTTACCTAGCTGGCAATCCTAATAAGTAGGCCCTCTCAAAGCAGTGATACCCAAAGAGGACCTCTGAGCCCTTTTGCCCTTTGGGGTTTACCTAGTCTCTTCATTCTCAAGCCCTTTCCCTGTACCCCTGCCCCTCACTGGGATGTGAACCTGGGGCCTAATGCATCCTAGGCAAGCTCTCTGTCACTGAGCTTCATCCCAGCGCACTGTGGCCCCTTTCTCAGGATTCAGGATTTTTTTTTTTACGTCTTTAAGTAGAAATAAATCCCTGGCAGAAAACAGCCTTTTCCCTGGTAGCTGATGCTCCGCTGATACTCTTCCTTTAGCTTTCATTCAGCAGTAAAGGGAAGAGCAGCTTGTTACCTATAATTTTTTTCACCTCCTCTGTTGTGATCTTAATTTCATAAAGGCTTAAAGCCCTTCCAACCTTATACATTTCAGAAACTCTGATTGTTTATTCTCTTCATGTACTTGAAATTTTTGATGTTTGGTCGCTTATGATGTTGATGGCCCACTTTTAAAAATCATCTTTGGTTTTTTTTTTTTTCATGGTTAGAAATTCTATTTTATTTGTTCCCTTTGCCTCTATTAAAATCATCTTTGTTATCTTTGCAGTTACATTGTTAGTGAGCCCTCAAGCGAGAGTGGAAAATCCGAATCCAGTAAGTAGAGCCTACTCTGAGCAGTAAGGTACAAGTTGAAGTATCTTTGTACAGATGACTGAAACATTTGGTATTTTTTTTTTTGTACTGGGATTCAAACTCAGGGCCTTGTGCTTGCCAGGCAGGCATTTGTGCTGCTGATATATCCCTGGCCCCATTTGGGATGTTTGACATAAGCGGGTCCTAGGATTGTTTCTTTTAAGACTCTTGAGTTGGTCAAATGAAGTTTATTTCCCTCCTGTCTGGAGCAGAGGAAATTCTCTTTGCTTCTTTTCCTGTTTTGCAGGGGAGGTGTTTTTTGTTTTAGGTTTTTTTCTTTCTTGGTGTGTGTGTGCTAGGGCTGGAACCCAAGGGCTTATGTATGTAGGCACACGCTCTGCCAGCGAGCCACACCCCCAGCCCTAGGTAGATGTAAATTTTACCAGCTATGATTTATGGACTTTGGCTTTGAGAAGTTAAAGACATGGGCAACCAGATTTTATCATGTTTCACATGCTTCCTAATACTCTTCTCCTTTTCTCTGATTTAGCTGTGGTCAGAAAGGGAGTAAAGAAAAGAGAGATGAGGTAAGTAGAACTACTGAAACTTGACTTTTTTCTTTCTACTTTTAAAATTTTTATTAGCACATGTTTGCAGTACATGCAGTTTATAATCATCCTGGGGAGTAGGTATATGTGCATACCACAGCTTGTTTCTTTATTTTAATCTCCTTTCCCCTTTCTTTAATTCCCCTATCCTGATTTTTTTTTTTTTTTTTTGTCTGTTTGAGGCAGAGTCTCGCTGTGCAGTTCAGGCTGGCCTTGAGCTCACTTTGTAACCCAGGCTGGTCTCAAACTTGCAACGATCCTCCTGCCTCAGCCTCCTGAGTGCTGGGATTGCAGGCGTGCACCACTACACCTGGCTCCCTATCCTGATTTTCATTCTTGGGTTTATTAATTTTAGCTCATGTTATGGCATATAATATTTACATTGATTGAGGTTATCAGGTTCCTGTACATGACATAACTTTATTCTACTTATCTCCCCTCCCCCTCTTCCTCACCCCTTAACCTTGTTCCCTTGGACCACTTCCCTATTGCAGGAGATCCATCCCCTTGTCCCTTTCTATCCATCCTTTATCATTCTCCTTATACTTTAAGAGATACCATGCAATATTTAAGTTTGTGTGTCTGGTTTATTTTACTGAACATTATATTTTCTAGCTGTGTCCATTTTCCTGCTGATGTCTCAAATTAGTCCTTCTTTAGAGCCAAGTAGTATTCCATTATATATAGTTACCATATTTTCTTCATCCAATCATCTGTTGATGGCTATACAGGCTGCTTCCAGGATTTAGCTATTATAAATTGGGCTACTATAAACATTGGTATGCATGTATCACTGTAGTATGTTGTCTTAAGCTCTTCAGGGAAGATACCTAGTAGGATGATAGCTAGGTCATATGGAATTTCTAAGTTCAGTTCTTTGAGAAAGCCCCATACTGATTTCTATAATGGTTGTACTAGTTTATGTTCCCACCAACAATGAAGGGGGATTCCTTTTTCACCACAGCCATGGTGGTATTTGTTACTTGATTTCCTCTTCTTCTTCCTCCTCCTCCTCCTCCTCTTCTTCTTTTTTTTTTTTTAGAGACAGGGTCTTGCTGTGTATTTCAGGCTGGCCTTCAACTCACTTTGTGGCCCAGGTTGGCCTTGAACTCGCAGCAATCCTCCTGCCTCAGCCTTCCAAGTGCTGAGGCTACACCCAGAAGGCCGCTCTGGAAGCAGTATCCTGTGTTTTCCTTGCAGACTTCAACTGTCACTGATTCTCTCAGTCCCAGTGTGGTTCTCCACGAAGGAAAAGATTTAGTTTCATTCTGTCACCCAGATGGTGGCTGGCCAGCTGCTCTCAGCTACAGTTTGCAGAGGGTCCCCTCACTTCTCTGCAGTGTGTTCTATTTCTTCTATATCTGTTAGTCCTTTTTTCTCTTTTCTCAGTTCCCTCCTGGCTCCTTGATACCTTATCACTTTGATTCCTCCCAGTGCTGCCATTTTCTAGACTCTAGACCCTGTCCTAGAGAAGCTGAGTTTTTCGTACTCGCTACTCTGCCATTTTTCCTCCTTGCCCCACTTGACCTTTTTTAAAGGAGAAAACTTTGATGTTCTGGGTAAGAAGATTTAAGAGTAAATATCACATTCACTCTGTGATCACTGTCGTACTTACCAGTATCATAATATTTATTTATTTATTTATTTATTTTGGTACTGGGAACAGAACTCAGGACCTTGCGCTTGCCAGGCAGGCGCTGTGCCACTGAGCTGTAAGCCCGGCCAATAATGGTTGACTTTACAACCAGATTCAAAATATTAGATTTCTTATTCCTGGCCCATTACCTCTGGTCAGTTTCTTCCTTAAAATGTTTCTATGACTTGCCTTAGCTTCCAATCTCCACTAGTCAAAAGAGTGGATCCCTCACCCTGGTTTTTCTTTCTTCTGATCCACCTTGCACAGCATTTCCAGAAGAACCTCCTGAGGCATTGCTTTGATATCGATGCCTAATTCAAATAGCTTATCATATAAAAGTCAAGCTGCGTAACTCACTATTTATAGCTCTCTGTGATTTAGCCTAACTTAGCTTCCAACCTATCTACCCTCAATCCTATGGTCAGCCCTCCGCTCTGGCCAGAGTGAGATGAAGGGTCATTGTGTAGGTATCAGTGATAGGAAGTGCTGGAAAAATTACTGGAATAAATCCAAAGCATGTGTCACTTTACTATGGTTTTCACATTAACTCCTTGGAATAGCGAGGGAATGTGAACTGGGAATTTCCTCCTCTTTCCCCATTAAGCCAAATAGTGCTGTTAGGTAAAAAAGTTTTTTTTTTCTGGCTACCTCTCATTGTCTCTGTTGAAAGTTTTGTTAGGCTTTGTTTGTTTTTGGTGCTGATGATTGAACCCAGGGCCTCACCCCCAACCCAAGTTAATAAGAGGCTGAGTTCATTTCTTGTGCATATATGGTGCTGTGGATCATATCCAGGGCCTCTTTCATATTGAGTACTTTTTCTACCACTAAATTGCACCCGTAACCTCTACTTTTTTTTAAGTGTATGTGCTGCCAAAGTGAGCACATAACCTGTTTTTGCAACATGTAAGTAACTAGTGTCACACCTGACATGAGTATGTGGAAAGTCATTTAAAGTCATCAGTTGAAGTCAGCTTGAATTCTAAAACCAAATAAGGCAATATATAGAACCATTAATTGGAAATTATCAAGTTTTATTAATTACACATTTTTAGTAAAGTTTATTGAAATACGATTTTTTACACTGGAAAGTTCACCCTTCTTCAGGTGCATACTTTGATGACTTGAACAAAAAGTATTTCCATAACTGTTATTTGCATCTTAAATGGTCTACCATGGGTCCTAAGAAATATTTTGGTTTATAATATTGTTCATAATAAAGTCTTCGATAATAACGATGTACCTGACTTTTTTGTTGTTGTTGGTCTTCTTGAGACAGGGTCTCACTGTGTAGTTCAGACTGGCCTTGAACTCACTTTGTAGCCTAGGCTGGTCTCCCACTCATGTTGATCCTCCTGCCTCAGCCTCCCAAGTGTTGGGATTACAGGTGTGCACCACCACGCCCGGCTGTACCTGATTTTTAAATAGAAAAATTAAGTTTATTCCACCTGCTGCCAGGTAGACATTAAACCAACATTTAAAGAAAATCCATGTTATGGGGCCCACCAGGAGTGCCCACAGGTCTTGGTACAGTTCCAGGTGGCTTCTATATAGAGGAGACTATAGGAAGAATAGATCTGGGGAGGAAAATGATGAGTTCATTTTTGGACATGTTGACATTCAGGGGCCTGTAGGCAGGTGTTAATGGCTTGTGTCTAGATGTGCCCCCCAAGCCTCATGTGGTCATAGGTGGGGCTTTTTCAGAGGTGGCTGGATCTAGGGTGTGTGATTGACTCATGGTACAATGCTAGGATTAAGGGTACTAGAATTAAGCGTGGGTGATTACTAAATCAGTCCACTGATTGGTGTGGCACCATCCTAATCCTGGGAGCCTGGATACAATTTAAGGGATGTGCCACCCTGCCTTGGAGCCAGCTGATTATAGACTGAAGCCTCTAGAAACTGTAAACTAAGTAAACTTTTCCTCCTTTAACGTGTGGATGTTGGGTATTTTGTCTCAGGAACAAGAAAAGTAACTAAGACAGCAGGGCTGATGTTCAAAACATCTAACAGTCAATAGAGCACAGGGAGGGATTAGTGAGGATGAATAATTGACAAACCAGAACCAACATCATCAAACCTGTGCATACTAAGTACCACCCCAACCCACAGAATCTCCAGGTAGGAAGCTGGATTAGGGCTATTAGAAGCAGAAGAGAAATTGGGCTGAATGGCACAGTTGCAGTGACTGTCCCATTAAGTCCAATAAGAACTCTATATTTTTTTCTAATATGTCCCATTTTTCCACAGTTAAAACATTTTATAGTACCCCCTTTTGCCTTAGCAAAATTAGCTATAACCTGAACCATCATAGTTGTCTTATATGATTCAGTTCCAATATCCTGACAAGCTCGAACATGTTGTCAAATCATTGGTTCATTTTACAGGATTTAAAGCTTGTTTTCAGTCTCGATTAGCATTTGCCTATGCCAGTTGTAGAATTAAAATGTCTGCAGCTTGTGTGTTTGAAAGCTGTCTGTGAACGGTTTCTTGTAGTCTAGCCACAAATTGAGTAAAGCGTTCTTTAGGGCCTTAAAGGATATGTGAGGACTGCATGGGAGTCCCACCCTCTGGAGTAGTTGTCCATGCCCTTTTTAGTAAATTTGCCAATTGTGAATATAGTTCGTCAGGACCTTGGGGCTGATCTCCGGAAGGCATCTCCTCATTTATTTCTGGATGTGGATTAGGACCCGTTCTGTTTATATGAACCTGCTCTGAAATAAGGTGGTTTTTTTTTTTTTTTTTTTTTTTGAGACATGGTCTCGCTGTGCAATTCAGGCTGGCCTTGTGCTCACTTTGTAGCCCAGGCTGGCCTTGAACTCAGAATGATCCTCCTGCCTTAGCCTCCCAGGTGCTAGGTTTACAGGCGTGCGCCACCATGCCTGGCCGAAATAAGATTTTTTAATTGTACATCAAAATGAAGAAATTGCGCAGGAGACAGGCATGTTTGTGCTAGATACCTGATATCATGTGGTGTCAATTGATATGTATCCAAAACATTCTGTAAAACTCTTACAGTAAATGGTCCCCATTATTAACAACACTTTAAGATTTTTTAGCATCTGAATTTCAAAAGGTAAATGAGAAACAGTCTTCTCATTGAGATCATTTTGCTGAGTTCCAGCTGGGAAGCAAGCAGGGGTGCCAGTGATTTCCCCTTTTGTGGCTGCTTTTCCCCTTAAAATCTGTAAGTTTCAGGATAGAGCCATATGGGATGTTCTTTTTAAAGGCTCCTGCTCCTGCTTCTGTTCCTGCTCCTGTCAAGATGGTGCCTTTGAAAACTGCTTTGGCAGCAGATGTCTCTGCTGGGAGCTGTTTTGTATCCTGTGTCCAAATCAGAGACTATTGACTGTGAGCCCTGCAACAGACTTAAATATTGGGTTAATAATCCTTAGTTATTGCAGGCTGATCAGGCCTGCAGTCTCCCAAATGAGTGGACAGCGAGGGCTTAAATAAAATGAGACAATTGAAATGATTATAGGGCTCTAGGAAGGTCTAACTCTCTTACAGACTTTGAGATTCTCTGGGTTAAGACAAAGACTTCTCTGGGCAGCCTATATTTATTTGGTTTACAAAGGAGTGAGATACTCAAGAAAACGAGGTAATCTGAGCAGGACCTTTGGAGAATTTTCCCACGTAGTAAATTATGTCAGTCAGGAGAACTACCTTATCTTTAGGTTGGTATTTATTGTAGGAGTGTGGAGCCTGCAGCTGCAGTCTCCTTTAAGTTAATTGGGGTTGAAGCCAGACTTCCTCAGCTGTGACCTTATCTTGTCCTTTAAGGTGTCACAGCTACACAGGCCAATACATGCCTCAGTGGTGACTAGTGACTCATACAGGTTCATTTACTATGAGTCCACTGCCCATCTTCAGACAAAGTGCCTAAGCTTCGGACAGCTTACAAGTAAACATGGAAAGCCAACTGGTTAATATTAAATCCTGCTCAGAGCCTCTTTGTAGTGGTCTGCAACATTTAAAACTGAATGAACTAGGTTCTATATGATCCAGTGACCCCCTGCTAGGTATCTTCCCCAAAGAGCATAAGACATCATACCACAGCAATACATGCATACCAATGTCTATAGCAGCACAGTTCATAATAGCTAAATCCTAGAAGCAGTCTGTATATCCATCAACAGACAGTTAGATAAAGAAAATGTGGTAACTACATAATGGAATATTACTAGGCTATAAAGAAGGATAAATTTGAGACATTTGTAAGAAAATGAATGCACCTAGAAAAGACAATGTTGAGTGAAATAAACCAGTCACACAACCTTGAATATCATGTGGTATGTCTCATTTGAGTGAGGCAAAGTACAACCAAAGAGAATGATAAAGGATGGGTAGAAGGGGGCAAGGGGATGGCTTTTTTGCGATAGGAAAGTGGTCCAGGGGAACAAGGGTAAGAGGGGTGAGGAGGGGAAGGGGAAATGAGTAGAATAAAGATATGCCATGTACAGGAACCTGATAACCTCAATGACTGCAAACATTATAAGACATAAACAAGAGCTAAGATTAATATCGACAAGAACGAAAACGGGGATAAGGGAATTAGAGGAGGAGGGCGGGGGAGGGAAGAGGAAGGGGACTGAAAAAGCAAGCTGTGGTATGCACATGTACGCATGCCCCAAGATGACTGTAACCAGCATGAACTGCAAACATGTACTAAAAAAAGCAAAGAAAGATGGAAAAGCAGGAATAATGGAAAGATTGAGTAGTTCAATTAAGGGAACAGGGCCGGGGATATAGCTCAGTGGCACAAGCACCTGCTTGCCAAGCGCAAGGTCCTGAGTTTGATCCCTGGTACCAAAAAAAAAGATAATAAAAATTAAAAAAAAAACAATTAAGGGAACAGAGTAATACTGTGGGGAAAAAACCAAAAGTTGACAAATGATCGTGTTCATTGTAAAAAAGGTAGAAAGTGCCATGAAGGGAATGTTGCATTCATATTTGTCACTTTTTTCCTATTTTATCACTCAGCCCTGTGATACTCAGCACTTCTGAGTCTGATGATGAATATGATTATGAAGAAAAGAGAATGAAGATGTACGAAATAAATAGTGAAGGCAAGTATACTGCTCCCTAGAAAAGTAGCTAAGCTCTGAAGCCTCGTCATGCATAGCGGTTTCAGGATCAGAGTACTCACACTCTGCAATCAGAAGCACTTCGCTCACAAGGGCCACCATTTCAGCCCTCGTGTGTGCTGACTGTGGATGTGGCTGGGTTAGTTTCCCACTGCCTTAGATCTCAGGCGTCCCTCCTGGTAGAGCCGTTACCTATCTAGAACTGCACAAAAGCATCAGAGGGGAGAGTCAAGAGCTGAGACTCAGAAGTATGCAGCCCACTTCCTCTCTTTCTCTCCCTCTCTACGTATGGGAATAAAGAGGAAAGGAGTCGGAAATGTGGGCTCTGCCTTTTTTCCAGTTTGATGGAGATTTGAGAGATGATGGTTTAAAACATGCTAGTTAGCTGGATATGATGGCACACGCCTGTAATCCCAGCACTCAGGAGGCTGAGGCAGGAGGATCACAGCAAGTTTGAGGCCAGCCTGGGCTACATAACGAGACCCTGCCTCCAAAAAACCCCAAAAACCCAAAGAACAAAAAACAGCCAATCAATCAATAAATGCATGCATGCATACATTCATACATACATGCTAGTTCCCATTTCCTGTCTCCATAGTTGCATAAAGAGGATTGAAAGTTTAGCCAGGACATAGTAACAGACTAAAGGGCAGCCTTTGAATTACAGAAATTTAACTTGATGGAAATATCACATTTTTATTCTAGTTTTTTTTACTTTTGCTGTGGGTACAAGTCTTTAGGCCTGTTTGGGAACCACCATGCAACATCATGCTACTTAGAGAATATGATTTGAAAACTACCACTATCCATTGATTGCTGTTTTATCTTTCTTTTTTCAATTTTTATTTTTTATTAGTACATGTTTACTATACATACTTATATTCCTTGTGGGGGAGTTGGTATGTATATATAACACATCTTAATTTTTTTTTTCATCTCTTTCCCCTCCCTCTCCCTTCCATCTCTTGGTCCCTTTCCCTTTTTTTTTTTTTTTTGGGATAGAGTCTTGCTATGTAGCCCAGGCTGGCCTCAAACTCATGGCAATCCTCCTGCCTCAGCCTCCTGAATGCTGGGATTACAAGCATGTACCACCATGCCAAGCAGTCCCTTTGCTTTTTGCAAAGATCTCTTTCCCTGTTTCTTTTTACCTATCTTTTATTTTGCACTTTATTTGTATTTTAGGTATCTCATATAAGAGAGACCATGATATATTTAAGTTTGTGTGTCTGAATTATTTCTCTTAACATTATGGTCTCAAAGTGCATCCATTTTCCTACAGATGACTCAAGTTTATCCTTTATGGCAGAATAGTACTCCATTGTGCATAAATAACACACTTTCTTTATCCATTCTTCTGTTCATGGACATACAGGCTGCTTCCAAGATTTAGCTATTGTGAATTGTGCTGCTATATACATGCGTATACTTGCTGGTGGGGTTTTTTGTTGTTGTTGCTGTTCTTGACACAGGGTCTTGCTGTGTAGTTTAGGCTGGCCTTGAATTCACTCTGTAACCCTGGCTGACCTTATACTCACAGTAGTCCTTTTGCCTCAACCTCCCGAGAGCTGGGACTACAGGCGTGTGCCAGTATACCTGGCCTGGTTGCTGTTTTATCTGTCACTACTTTTAGTAAAATAAAAAAGAAGTAGAGTGAAAATAATCTAAAATAACTGTGATTCTTAACTATGACTTACAGTCACAGTTTCTAGCTTGTTTAACTATGCTCAATAATCTGCTGGTGTTCAGTGTATAAGGAGTATATTTGTAAGTGCTGTGTCCCTTGAATTTCAGATGAGATTTTGGAAGTGATTTCTGACAGTGATGATGATGAGCAGCAGCAGCCCACCACCTCCACCATGGACACATGTCCGGTGGTAATTAGCGATGATGAGGACGACAATGGTGGCAATGATAACAAGATGGAAATTCCTGAGCTAAAAGAAGGGGATTCTCAAGACCCCGGCCAAATTTGTTCAGATAAAGGAGAAGTGGATCAGGGTGCTGCCTCCCAGCAGAGTTCACCTGGCAATATTCTACCTGCTGGTCTTACATGTGAGCAGAGTTCACCTGGTGATATTCTGCCTGCTGGTGTTACATGTGCTAGTGTTCAGCCTGATAATGTGCCATCTGATAATGTGCATGAGAAGCCAGATCTTGGTGAAAATCTTGATCAGCCACCAAATGATCCTGAGGGTAGCCCACAAACTACAGATGAAAAGTTGCCAGCTACTGAAGAGCTCCCATCTGTGGCAAAGAAAACAAGGAAAAGGAAACGTAAAGCCAGGAGAACACGTATGGCATCTGGTAAGCCAGTCATACCATGTGTGTCTATCCCAGCAAATGTGCCCAGCCTACGAGTGTGCCCACCACACCTTTTCTGCTCAATATGCTTGGCTTTTCATGCCTGCCCATCCTGTTTGCCAGTCCTCAGCCATTATAGCAACTTTCTAGTTGCGAAGGGAAGCAGCCGACCCAGTGAAAAGGTTTTTTCCCGGAATAGGAAACACCCATGTCTGACTTTCTAATGTTCTCATATCTTAGTATTCACTGTTCTCTGTGTCCCCTCCCCCCACTTTCTCCCTGCACCTTTTGTCCTGAGGATACACTGATACCTTGGTTCATGAACTTAATTCTTTCCGTGATTTCTGGTCATAAACCAAATTGGAGAAGAACCGAATCAAATTCAGTGGTTAGGTACAGTGTTGGCCTTATGGAGAAGTTTGATTCAGTTCTTTGCAACCAGAATCATGGAAAGAATTAAGTTCATGAATTGAGGTACCACTGTATCTGTTTTTCTTAAAACCTGGTCCAATCGTTAGGTCCTGTGTGTAATCATGAGATATTAGAATGACTCTGCCCTCCTGGAATCCCAAAGTTCTCGAGCTTAAAGCGCTAGTCTGAAGCAGTAATCATGCTGTGTTGTAGCATGTTACTAAATCTGTCCCCCACTAGTAGCCTCTTCATGGGAGGACTTTTAGTCATTTAGTCTCCCAGCGTCTAGCTTTGTGATTGGCATGTAACAAATGGTTAAGAAATTTTTGGTCTTTTTTTCCTTTTTTGGTATTGAGAGTCGAACACAGGGCATCACACTTGCTAAGTAGGTGTTGCACCCCTGAACTACCTCCCCAGTCCTAAATTTTTAAATAAATGAATGAGTGACGCTAACTGTCGGTTCCTAAGTCTCTGGCTAGAGAGACGGGCAGTATGGGTCCTAGATGAAGGTAAAAAACTGGCTTGCATGTTAGGTGAGGTTGCAGCCAAGGCTGTCAGCTGCTCCCTGCAGCATGTGTAAGCCGTGCTATACCATTCCTTAGACTGCATGTGGTATAGTTGTGCATGCAGCCTGGCCTCTAAAACGTGTTCATGGACCCTTAAGACAGTGCTTGGTACCTATGACAAAATCCTACCCAGGGCCGGGGATATAGCTCAGTGGCACAAACGCCTGCCTGGCAAGCGCAAGGTCCTGAGTTCGATTCCTGGTACCAAAAAAAAAAAAAAAAAAAAAAAAAGCAAAATCCTACCCAGGTCACACTGTCAGAGGCTCTGCGATTCCCATAGATAAAGGCACTTTGAAAGCAGTAGTGTGCAGTCTTTGCAGTTTGACTGGAAGGTGTTGCTCTGTGCTTGGCTATGGGGGCTCCTCCAGGTTTATCGTCTTGTCAGTTGGGTGATGGTATAAATTTTCAGGGTACAAATTAACTGTTATTCTCTCAGCTACTGGTGGACGAAAAAAAGACACACCTGCAGAGAACAAACCCAGAGGTGAAAATGCTGAAAAGTGCGAGACTGGGTATGTACTGCTTGTGGCCAGCTGAACAGGAATTGATCGCACATTTGTCCTGTTCAGCAGCCTACTGGGCACTCGGGGGTTGTGGTGAGTGGGATAAAGGCGTCTGGTGGGGTGGGGGGGACAGGGTTTCTGTCCCTGAGCAGAGAGCGGGCCGAGGAAGCCACTGGCCAGCACCCCTGTCCCTGGTGGCTGGGCCTGAGCACCTGCCAGGGCCGCTGCACTTGCATGGGCAGAGTGGGGCCCTTCGTTCCCATAGCAGCTCTGGCCTCTGAAGTATCCTTTGTCTTTAAACTCAGGTCAAATAGTGATGTGTAGCCAAGTAAGACACGTCTCTTTCAGGCTAGATGCAGCCTTGTGGCACCAGGTTACTCTAAACAAAGTAAACATAGTGGAGATGGTGAGAAGGCAGAACTGACCCATTGTTCTGATTTGTCAGAATTGGAGTGAGGACAGTTGAGAGTGTTTCCCAGGCTTTTTAGAGCTTTGGATGAACCCAGCTATATGTTTACTACTATGTATATCCTGGAGTTTTTGCTTTGCAGTCTTGGGGACCGAACCTAGGTCTTCCCTGCGCTCTATCCCTGAGCTATACTCCCCAGCCTTCTTGAGAATTTTCAAAGGTTAAATGTTAGGATGAAACAGATTGCATGTACTTCCCTTATTTTTATTAAGCTGTATGTAGTTGATACTGAAAACAACTGATCATTAAAGGCATGTTAATACTTAAAGCAAAAAATCAACACATATTCTCATTTAAATTCCAGGAAGTTCCTTCATTTTCCATTAGAAATACGGTATGGTGACCAGGCATGGTGGTACATGCCTGTAATCCCAGTACGTGGGAGACTGAGGCAGGAGGATCACTGCAAGTTCGAGGCCAGCCTGGGCTACATAGTGAGTTTCAGACCAGCCTGAACTGCACAGTGAGAACCTGTCTCAAAAAAACCACCCCCCAACAAAAAAGATATGGTAGGCATAATTTTCTTGGTTTTTATTTGTATTCAGGAGTAATACATACTTACATCTGAATTGTCTTACAAGATAAGGAAGGGATTTAAAGAATTACGTTATTTTTTGCAAGCACCCTTTTTTTGTTTTTTTTTTTGTTTTTTGTTTTTTTTGGTTTTTCTCCGGTACCGGGAACCGAACTCATGACCTTGCACTTGCCAGGCAGGCGCTTTGCCACTGAGCTAAATCCCCAGCCCCGCAAGCATCCCCTTTTCCATGTGGGCTAGAACGTAGGGCCTTATACATGGTAACCAACTACTTTACCATGGAGCTTTATCCCACAGTCTGTGTAATTTTTCAGCTTGTATTTTGGGAGAAAAATACATATCTTACAGAAGGAAAATATGACATCCCAGGAATAGGGCAGCAGAGAAACTTAGACCTGAAGGAAAGGCTTTCTGTATCCAAGAAAGCTGGCAGCAGCTGGACCCCTTTCATTGAAATCATCTCTAGATGTCTTTTTTTTTTCTTTCATCTTTAATTTCTAGATTGTATTTAAGCTGATTTGCTTATAGGGATGGGTGGCTTGGGTAGCTCCCAGGTTACTTTGCTAGAGACTGACAAAAGTGGGGAGAAGCTGCTGCTTGGCGTGTGTGTTAGTGTTAGTGAGCCTCATCCAAAGGAGTCCAGGCTGTTTGGACTCTTAACTGTTGCATTGGTGCTTCCTGTGTCAGTCTGGGGGCTTCCTGTTGTGCTCGGCGTTGTTCCTGTGTAGGTTGCTTGTTGGTCGTGGTGTGTGATGCACCCAGTTTGGGGTCTTGTTGGTTCCTCTGATGTGGAGCATGCTTGGCCTGCAGTGCAGTGGCGCAGGGCTTGAGGTGAAGTTCGCTAAATAACAAGGCCAGCTTGGCTCAGATTTTCATCTGCCACCTCTTCTGTTCTGTTCTGTTCTGTTTTCTGTTCTTTTCGAGTAGGAAGAATTTATTGAGAGAGAGAAAGCTTCTATCTAAGGAGGCAAATCTGATGCAGATTTGTTCTCAAAACTAAGTAATTGGAGGCAGAAGTGTTAGAGTCATCCATGGGCAGCTCTGGGGGAAAAGACACTTGCATTATCTTCCCTTGCCTTGACTGGTACTTTCTTCCCCTCCACTTCAACCTCCTCACATAGAGTTTATTTTGCAGTTGAATCCTGTATAAGTATCCTGGCAAAATCTCAGGAGTCCTGTGTAGTCAGAAGCTCTCTGCATTGACTTCTTCATCTGTCTGGACTTGTGAATTGTTCTAGCCAAGATAAAAATGCTTCAGTTTAAATAAGTAGTTACTACATGCATGAGTCCCTTACGTGCTCAGCACTATTTCTTGTGCCACTTGAACTAAGCATGGAAGGATGGCAGCAGTTGTGAAGTAATGGAAAGATCCTGAGATTGAATCAGAAGATTCATTGTCTCTGTGGCCTTTGGGCAAATTACCCCTGAGCCCGGTTTCCTCCTCTGCAAGGTAGAGATGATAAAAACAGTAGTGGCTTCTTTGAAGGATGATTGTGAGGATTAAATATGGTAATGTAAAAAGAAGGTTTTTTTTCTTTCATCTTTTTGAAATAAGGTTTCACTACGCATTTCAGGCTAGCCTTGAACTCATTTTGTAGCCCAGGCTGGCCTCAAACTTGCAGCCATCCTCCTGCCTCAGCCTCCTCTGGGATTACAGGTGTACACCATCATACCTGGCTAAAAGAAAGTTCCTTACAAGTGGTAACACACAAATGGTGGTTCTCTGGAGAGGTGGAGATGGGACTCACCATGGAAAGAAGTTGGGCTGAGGCGTGAGTGTGGGAAATCACAATTCATGTCCAAGGAATGTTTGAGTTGCCTGCTGAGTCCAGAGTAGAAAAGGTACCCAGAAATAGAGGCTGGGGCCACATTGACCCAGACCTTCAATGCCAGGCCAAGTAGTCATTGAAAAGCAGAGGGGAATGTTAACTGGAATATAGCCTAGGACAGGGATGGCGAACCTTTTCAAGCTGTCAGTGACATAAACAGTCTGCTGCAGTATGTGTGCCATAGGTTCACCACCACTGGTGTAGGGAAACAAATCTGGAAGAGTGTGTGTAATTGGATTAGAAGAGGTGACTGGGGTTGGGAAGGAGGGCTGATTGGAAGAGCCATTGGGACGAAGATCTCTATCCCCAGTTCTACATGGAACGAGGGAGAATATGAGTTAAAAATTCCTCAGGTCTTCAGCCAGTTACAATAGAAGTCAGGCAGTTGCATATGTTGTACTCTTGTTAGTTGGAAATTTGCTTTGGGCAATTGTAAATTCAGAACTAGATGTCAGGAGAGAGCTAGAGACTGCAGCTAGGTGTGGGAATCAGTTCCCTTGGGGTGGAAACCAACCCTCACACCTCCGAGAATGTGCTGAGGTTGAAGAGAAAAGGCTATGAGTGGAAGCTTGGGAAGTGCCCTTATCTAAGGAAGGAAGGAAGTAGGTGTCACAAGTTTGCAGTCGCTCTTGGCCTGATCTTTAATGCATGCATTTCGTCTATCTGTTTCTTCAGTTGTATCTGTTTCTTCCGCTGCTTCAGTTGAATTTATCTTTGCAGGAGAGCTATGTGCCAAATACCCGGCTGCTTTTTGCTTGGTATTGAAAAAACAAAAGAGTATTCTGGAAAGAAGTTCAAGAAAAATAAGGATGAGCTGATTCAGAAAATCTACACACTGCTTAACGACACCGTCTTTGATCAAAAGGTAGAATGGATGCGTTAGAATTTATTGAGCACCTGCTGTCTGATGGCAGTCTTATAGGGCAGGTGGTATGCTAACTGTGTAGACTTCCTGCCCTTGAGAAATGTCAGTTTAGGTGGGGAGGTAAGAGACTACACAGAGGGCATATGTGAAGGAAATAATGTTTATGGGTTCTAATACATGGAACAGACGGTTATTACCATAGGAGATCAGCAGAGGGAGAAATGACTGAGAGACTGAGTGGTGAGGAAGTAGGGTTGCTTGGAGGAAGTGAAGCTCCTTTTGGTAAGTCACAAGGACAGCACTGACAAGGGAGAGGGGACTATGTTGAAGGCTCAACTACTTGCAATGAGAAGAGCAGTGTGAGCTTGGGAAAGTTGTGTAACCTCAGTATGCCTGTTTCTACATCTATAAAATGGGGACAATAACAGTACAGTTGTTCCTCTGTGTCCATGGAGGACTGGTTCCAAGATTCCCCAGTAAACACCAAAATCTGTAGATACTCATGTGTAGTATTTGCATATGATCTAGTCACATCTTCTCTTTTTTATTTTTATTTTTTGGGTTTTTTCTTTTTGATTTTTTTTTTTTGGAGACGGGGTCTCACTATGCAGTTCAGGTTGGCCTTGAACTCTCTGTGTAGTCTAAGCTGGCCTCGAACTCAGTGATTCTCCTGCCTCAGCCTCCCGTGTGCTGGAATTACAGGCGTGTGCCACCACACCCAACTCTCCTATTTACTTTTAATCATCTCTATATTACTTATATAATACTTAATATAACATACGTACCATGTAAATGGTTGTTACACTGTGTTGTTTAGGGAATGAGGAGAAGGGGGAAATCAGTACATGTTCAGCACCACTGCAATTGTTAAAAAGTATTTTTGATTTGTGGTTGGCTGACGCTGTGGATGTGTGGAACTCACAGATGCAGAGGGCCAGTTGTGCTTACTACTAGGAACTATTGTTGGGCCTACTAAAGTTAATATACAGAAAGTGCCCGGAACAGGGCCTGCACTACTGTAGCTCTTCTTACCATTTTTCAGCAGGGTAGGGGCAGGTCATAGATGGGCATCAGGTTGTGGGAGGTGAGATTGAAATTGGTAGGCACTGCTGCACAGGGATGTGATGTGACCTGGAGTGGCTGCTGAAGGAAAATCTGACAGTAGCCTAGAGGTGTGGATTGGACTGGGGAGAATTTGGAGGCAGAGACCTTTTGGTCATTCCTCATTCCGTTGTTTTGTTTTTGTGGGGCTGGGGATCAAAGGCAGGCCTCTCTCGTTTGAAGCCAGCACTCCACCAGGGAGTGCCATCTTTAGCGCTAGCACATTGGGTTTTTCAGATGTTACTACCTCTGGTACCAAGACTTTCCAGAGGGAAGGTCTCTTGTCCTAAAGGCTCCCTGGCCCTTGGTGTCTTTCCTGAGGACAGTGGTGTTAAATCCGATGAACAGAACCTGAAGTGTTCTGAGGTGCATGTTCACTTCTTCCTCAGGACACTGCGCACAGGTTTCTAGCTGACCCGCTGAGGCGGGCCTGCGCTTCTGCCCGCCTGTCTCCGTGCGAGAGAGCACAAGCCCTAATTCACGTTGTCTCAACAGTGTCCCTTGTGTCCTAACTGCCTATTAGTTTTCTTTATCCGGACTTGCAGTTGGTTTTTATTCTCCCCCAGAATGCTTAGATTTGTGTGCCCTTTGAGTAGATTTACCCCCAACTTGCTGTGAGCCAAGAACCCGGGGAAGGAAGGTTCTCTTTTTATTACAGGGAACAAACCCTTGAGTTAGTACTTTCTGGACTGCTTCGAACTGCTGTCTGATTCCTCCTGTTTGCTTTTCATTCTTAGCTGCCGGAGAAAATAGACATTGCGTGGAATAAGAAGATGCTGAGAACTGCTGGCTTATGTACCACTACCGAGAAACAGCACCCAAAGAGGGAACGCTATGCTAAGATTGAGATTTCTCTGAAAGTCTGTGACTCTGCAGGTGATGGCAGGCATGAGGCAGTGGTATCTCCACACTCTTTCCCTCTGACAGCACAGCCTGTTCAGTGACTCTTAGCTGGAAGCCTGTGTCACTGTTTGAACTGGCCTCCCCAGGTGGACAGGCCTACTGTGTTTAGTTTAGAGAAAACTACATTGGGATGTCCACCATTTGTGGGAATCCTACTCATCCGTCTCTACCAGGTCTGCCTTTCTGTCTGCGTTTTCCCCTTGCAAGAAGCAGCACTCCATTCTCTCACTAGCTGAGGTTCAAGGTCCGCTATACCTATTCAGTCACCAAATCTCCCTTCACAATGACTTGCCTGTCATTCTTCCTCCGTCTTTGCTTTTGCCCAGGTATGGGCGCTCAGCCCTTTACTTCTCTGGGCTGCACTGAGGGTTCTGTGCACCCCTGCATTGCTTTCCTGGGGCTTTTTGGTGCCTGGGGCCTGGCTTTCTAGGCCAGTGTAATCAGCCCCCACTTCAGTTGGCTGCCCTTGTCTCTCACTACTCCATGTTAGCTCACGTCCAATTAGGCCTCTTCACACTGGTCTTCACATTGTACCACATGCTTCCCTGGCCTCAACCTTTGCTCCCATTTTTCACCTGCCTCACAATGGCCTTTTGAATTACACAAATCCAGTCAGTTGTGAAGGGCCCAGCTCAGATCCTCATCTCACCACGGTGCTTCTCCTGACCAAATCCCACAGCCGTAGCGATTGCCCTCCCACCCATCCTTATCCACTCCTAGAGGGCAGAAACCAAGTCTTGTCCAGGTAGATTTCTTTCTTTCTTTTTTTTTTTTTTTTTTTTTGGTACCGGGAATCGAACTCAGGACCTTGTGCTTGCCAGACAGGTGCTTGTGCTGCTGATAATGTCCCTGGCCCCAGGTAGATTTGTAGCAGTGTCCCATAAAGAGATGAACGTGTTGGAGGGGTTCTGAAAAGACCTGCTCGCCTATGGCTGTCTGCCATGAACAGAATTGGGTTGAAGTAGGCAGAAGTTTCACTTTCAGAATTCTGGGAAGGTGATGCTCATGGCTGCCTGCCTGCCTACACTTCTGTAAGGTGCCTTGTGCCTGCTGGGGGTGAGAGTCAAGGAGTTGTTGGGTAGCAGAGCAGAAGAGAATCAGTTTTAGTGCTCACAGTTTCTTTTCATTCCCTTCCAAGACCGACTCCGAGACACCTTGATACATGAAATATGCCATGCAGCCTCCTGGCTGATTGATGGCATCAGAGATTCTCATGGTGATAAGTGGAAGTATTACGCCAACAAGACCAATAAGATACACCCGGAGCTGCCCTTGGTCACCCGTTGCCATAACTATACAATTAACTACAAGATTTATTATGAATGTAAGCACTGCAAAGCCAGGTAAGACTTTTCTCAGACTTTTTTCCAACTACCTTTTCATTTCAGTCTCCAGGTGGCTGTTTGGTTGTTATAGGAATAAGTGAGTGGTTGTTTGACTTGAGAAGTGAAGCTTTGTTTTTTTTTTTTGAGAAGTGAAGCTTTGTATGTCTTTCTTTTCGTGTAGGGGTACTAGAGATTAAACCTAGCATCTTCACAATGAACTATTTACCCAACTCCCTTTTCCCTTTTAATTTGAGACAGAGGCTCACTAAGTTGCCAAGTTACAAGCAGGGCCCAAACTTGTGATCCTCTTGCCTCAGCTTCCCAAAGTGATGGGATTATAGGGATTATCGGTATAACCTCCCTATTTCTTTTTTGTTTGTTTGTTTGTTTTTTGGTTTTTCTCCGGCACCGGGAACCGAACTCAAGACCTCATGCTTGCCAGGCAGGCACTTTTGCCGCTGAGCTAAATCCCCAGCCCCTAACCTCCCTATTTCTATCCATGTTCTCTACTAATTTGAGCCAGCCTGACCCCTGCTGCTGCTAAGAGCCCCACTCAGAGAACTCACAAAAAGCTCTTCACTTTGGGCCCAAGACCAATATCTCAGAGCTGATACTGTGGTGACTGATCTGTTTATGTGGTGTCCTTTTCCTCTCTAGGATTGGCCGCTACACCAGATCGTTGAACACCGAGCGCTTTATCTGTGTCGCGTGCAAGGGGCCTCTGGTCTTGCTGCCGTTAACTCGGAAAGATGGAACCCCCATTGAGCCCCATGTGAGACCGTTTGGCAAATATGTGCAGGAGAATTATAGAATAGTGTTACAGGAAACAGCAGGGATTAGCCACGGTGACGTGATGAAAAAGCTCAGCAAGGATTATGCCGCTAGTAAACTAAAGAAAAACCCTTGAGGTTGCCTTAGAGTACGTTTCTATTACATTAAACTAACCTCTTTTGTTTTGTTTTGCTTTTTTGTTTTTTTTTTTTTTTTTTTTTTTTTTTTTTTTTTTTTTTTTTTTTTTTTTTTTTTTTTTTTTTTTTTTTTTTTCCTTTTTCATCGTTAGAATCAAACCCCATGTGCTACTAACCTACATCCCTGGCCCCAGAATATTTTTCTTTTCTTTTTTTTCTTTTTTTTTCTTTTTTTCTTAAGACAGGGTCTAACTGTGGAGTTCGAGCTGGTCTTTGAACTCACACTGTGGCCCAGGCCGGTCTCGAACTCCTAACAATCCTCCTGCCTCAGCCTCCCAAATGCTAGAATTATAGGCGTGCACCACCACACTCAGCCAGTATATATTTCTATTAACTGAGCCCTTTACTGACAAGAAGTTCTAGAAACATTTCTGTGAAGTTATTAATATTAGAGTTGAAATATAAACTTTTAGATTCATCTTACTAATGATGATGTTTTTAACCAAAGGTTTTATTGTACCCATGAGAATATCCTGAAGGCCTTTGGATACACGTTGGGTCTTACTTTTACTGCATTGTTTTAGCATATGGAACAAGACACAGAAAAAAATGAGCTTTTGAGAGTAGCAGGCTGAGAGGATGAAATGGAAAAGAGTAAGTTTTAAAGTTAGCACTTCAGAGCCAGGGCCGTTGCAGTATGTTCTGCCTACTTACACATGAAGCACACATTACAGGGATTTAGTTGCTGATGACAATGAGTGAAACTGTCTGAGCCATGTACTTGTTCAGAAAACAAAATAAATAAAGTGTGGGTTTTTGTATCTCACTTATTAGCAAAGTCTGCTTATTGTTTTTCTCTTATTTCCGTGACTGCCCATAAGGGCTTCAGCAGTGATACCCAGGATGTGGACCGGTACTGGTACTGTATTAGTTTCTTTTGGCTGCCACAACGAAGTACTATAAACCTAGGGGCTTAAAACAACATAAACACATTACAGTACAGTTCTGGAGGTCAGAAGTCTGAGAGCAGTCACTGTGGACTACAATCAAGGTGTTGACAGGGCTGCATTCCTTCTGGATGCTCTAGGGGGAAATCCAGTTTCTTGACTTTTCCAGCTTCTAGAGGCCACCCGCATTCCTTGCTTGGTTCCTGGCCCCTTCCATCTTTAAAGCCAGCGGCAGTGTCTCTTTCTCTGCCTGCCCCTTTTATCTCCCTCTTTCACCCTTAAAAGGCTTTTTTTTTGTTTTTTTTTTTTTTCCGGTACCCGGAACCGAACTTATGACCTCATGCTTGCCGGCAGGCGCTGTGCCGCTGAGCTAAATCCCCAGCCCCTTGAAGACTATTATGATTACATTAGGTCCACATAGGTAATCCAGGAGAATAGTTTTGGTTTTGTTTGTTTTGTTTTATATTTTCTAGGCTGGCCTTAAATTCACTGTGTAGCCCAGGCTGGCCTCAAACTTGTAGCAATCCTCCTGTCTCAGCCTCCTGAATGCTGAGGTTGTAGGTGTGCACCACCATGCCCAGCTCGATAGAGAATCTTAGAGTCAGTTAATTAGGAAGCTCAATTCCTCTCTGCCATGTAAGTTAACCTATTCATAAGCTGTGGGTGTTGGGAGTGTGGAGGACAGGGAGGCCCAGTTTTTGGCCTGCCACAAATACCTTTACTAGTCTAGCATTATTGATATTTTTTATAGGCAGGATCTGTTATTCTGATAATTTCTTTCATTTTTCAGAAAAACCTCTAACTCTGAAGCCAGATGTGATTAGAGATATAAGTATATAGGGTTAGGAAGAGTTTCCTCAGCTAACTGCTTGGATTTCTTCCCCCTATTTCTGGCTCTAACCATGTCTTCAGTTTCAGCAAGGGCTCAGCTCCCCTGTCAAACTGGGTCATGTGACTTCATGATGGGGAGCTGATAGCACAGTAGGTCTGCACTTTTACCCTCTGCCTTAACTCGGTGGCCCTATCAACATGCCCTTCTGGGAAGCTCCGTTATTGCCTCTACCCACTGCACCCTCAGCAATAGCCATGGAAAAATGCCCTCTACAGCTGCCTGGGTGGGCTGTGTGCTACCTGCTGGCTGCTGGCAAGTCATTTGGCTTCGTTGCGTTTCTTCAGGCCCGCTGCCATTTCCCTAGGAAGAACCTCCGTCAGCTCCCATGTTACCTGAATAACACACAGCCTTCAAACTGGTCTGTGATTCCAGGCTACCTCGTGGTCTTCTTTTTCAACCTTGCCCCTACCTGAACACTTAACTCTAGCCACTTGGGACCACTTGTAATTTCCCCCGTAAGAAGCCAGGAGCAGTTGGCACATACCTATAATCCCAGCACTCTGGGAGGCTGAAACTAGAGGATCACAAGTTTGAGCCCAGCTTGGGCAGCTTAGCAAGACCCTGTCAAGCATAAAAAAAGAGCTGGGGATGTAGGCCAGTGTGAAGACTGGGTTCAATCCTTAGTACCGCATACACACAAAATGGACTTTAGCCATGGCACCTTTGCTACTGTCCTCCCTGATGCCTCAAAATACTCTTTTTTTCCTCTTTACCCTCGGAAATACCACTTGGCTTTAAGTCCAGGAAGCCTTCCCAAATGGCTCCAGCCTTCGTGCTCTGAGCCCTGGGTTTACCATGTTCCATTCCTTTGTCTCACATCATACACTGGTACTGCTAGTTCCTGCTGAGGTAGGAAGATGAGACCCAGCCCTGTTTTCCCTTTGATGGCAATAGCTGTCATGCACCGTCCCACTATAGCTTCCCCTCCGGTGGCCAGGGACAGCAAGCTTCAGCGTCTTCCTGCTCTCTGGGGATTGCCTCAGACACCCTTCAGGCCTTGGCTGGCTTTGGAGTCCAAGGCTTGTCCAACAACTATGGTGCCCCTTCTCCACTCAGGCCTGCTCAGGTGCTGCTGCCGCCTCTCAGGAGTGGCTGGAGAACTGTGTCTAACAGCACAGAAATTGCAGATGGGCTGGGCACGGCCACTATCCCCTAAGTCCCCAAATCCTGTTGGGCCATGTTCAGCACTGCTGCCACTCGGACACTCACAGCAGCTGCAGTCATGACCCCAGGGAGCTGTCCGTCAAACAGCAGCTGCTATAGTTCAGCCAAGGTGTCACCATGACAGCAAAGACTTCCAGACACCCAACAGTCACTCTGGGAGATACTTGCCTTGACTGCAGTAGGCTTCGGGCACAGACCTCTCCCAGATGACTCTGCCCTGCCACCCCCAAATGACCTGGCCTGTCCTACTACTTGAAAATCCCCCAAATAGGTGACATGCGAGAGACCACACGCGCTCAGGTTGCTTCTAAGCGTCGTTCCCTCACCTACCTTTGGTCAGTCCGGAGACTGTCCTGTGTACTGTCCTCTGTGCGGCAGCACAGACCTCAATAAAGCTTCGCTCAGGTGATCTTACTGCCTACTTGCGATCTTTTGTCAGAGTACATTGTCACAGTACGTTAGTAGCTGGCACCACTAAGGGCTCGTGGCCCTGAGCATGCTTCGCAGCCGGCGGGCTGCTGAGGAGCTCCGGAGCGAAGAGCCAAGATCTGTAGAGATCTGGGCCAGAGCCCCGGGGAGGTGCCAGAAGCTGCTGCCAGAGTTCCAGACAGCTGCTGAGGAGGGTACAAGCTCCAGCTGCTAGGTGGGGTGGTTGACTGCTACCAGGACCTAGGACGCTAACGGCTAAGAGGTGCGAGCGCTCGGAGCTTGGAGCTGTGACACTAATAGCTCAGAACTATTGGCGCTCAGAGCCTGGAGCTGCTAACATTGAGGGAGCTGCACTTAGCAGCTCAGGATTTCTATCCAAATGGGGCAAGAACCCTCGGCTGATTGTTAACATCTGCTCCCACACTGGGCACCATCCCCTGTAGAGGGCCCCGAAGAAGAATGGACAACAGTGACAGTTGTCAACAGGCCCGAGGACTAGCCCACAGCTGATTTCCATATTCTGTGCAGCTAGGAGTCCACGCTAGCTGGTGACCACATATTCCCTGCTGGCCTGACCTGGGATTCAGGGACTATGTCTTACTCACCTCTAGTAACCCTTTCCCCAAATTATGCCCAGGTAGTGTCCACAGCCAGCCAGCTGCCTGACAGCTCACGGCTGCTGCCCTGGCCCGTGAAGGTGTCTACCGACACCAGCAGGTGGTAGGTGATCAGAGGCCACCACTACCACCATCACCAGCTCTGGCCAAGGCCCCCAGGTCCAGGCAGGGAGAAGCAGAAAGTACATTTCCAACTCGAGTCAGGGCTGACCGTAATGATGACTACTCAACCACGCTGATCCCGATTATCTTGTTTATTGAAAAATGTTAAGCAGGATTTTAGACATAAAAAAATAAAAGTGGACAAATACAGAGGTCTGGGGAACCACTGCCACAGTTGTTGCTGAGCTGGTGACCCGGGCCACAGCCCCGTGGGGCAATCCTCTGTACCGTTTGCCTCAGATTCCCTGCATGTAGGAAAGGCCCAGTTCTAGCTGCTGAGTTGGAAGGGCAGTGGGGCTCTGGGCATCCACCCCTGAAGCAGCAGGAGGGGCTGGGCAGCTAAGGAGTGGCAGTGGCTTGGCCCCCAGGGCTGGGAGGGCAGCTCCCTGGGAGACCCGGCAGTGCTGGAGCTGCCGAGGAGCTCCAGGGGCCGGGCTATGGAGAGGGCCAGAGCAAGGCTAGCAGTGAGGGAAGGAGTGAGCCTGGAGGGTGGGGGAAGTCTGCATGGGCCGAAGGGTACTCCCATCCCAGTCTCACAAGCCTGAATAAGAGGCCTCTGTGGTCTCAGACCAGGAAGAATCTCGGCGGGAAGATGACGGCTGCTGCTGGAGGCCGGGGCAGCCCAGACGAGTGAGCAGTGTCCACAGACGCTCTCGGAACTTGATCCCCACAAAGGCATAGAGCAGTGGGTTGAGGCAGCAGTGCATATAGCCCAGGCCTGAGGTGACTGACTTGGCCACATCTATTTGACTTTGTCGGCTACAGTTGGGGGCCAAGGCCTCCAGGTCCATGAGGATGTCCACCATAGTCACTAGGTGATAGGGGGTCCAGCAGAGGGCAAAGGCCACCACTACCGCTACCACTACCCGCATGGCCCGCAGGCGCCGCCTGCCTTTGGAGATCAGCAGCACAGCCAGGATGCGGGCATAGCAGTAGGTCATGACCAGCAAGGGCAGCAGGAAACCAGCCACCAGCTGCAGCAAGCGCAGAGCTGTGCGGCCAAACTGTGGGAAGTTGTGCTGGCAGACGGTGGCACTGAGGCGGTTGTCGCGTTGGGCCGAGAGGAAGATGAAGTCTGGAAGGGCAAAGAGCAGGCAGAGCCCCCAGACGACTACACAAGTGAGGGCCACGCGGGTCTGGGGCCCCCGGCGGTAGAGCTGGGTGGCATGCACTATGCTCAGGTAGCGATCAAAGCTGATGCAGGCCAGCAGGAGGGACCCTGCGTAGAAGTTGATGTTGAAGAGGGCTCCTGCCACTTTGCAGAGGCCAGAGCCAAAGACCCACTGGACAGCAGCATTCACTGCCCAGAGCGGGAGCGTCAGCACCAGGAGTGCGTCAGCCATGGCCAGGTGGAGCAGGAAGGTGTCAGTGCTGCTCAGGGCGGCCCGCTGGCTCAGCAGCACGGCTGCCACGACACCATTGCCCAGGAGCCCTAGCACGAAGAGGAGGCTGTAGAGGACCGGAGAGAAGGTCCGGTCGAAGTTCAGGCTGAAGTCCTGTGGGCAGGGCGGGGAGTCACTCTCGTTTTTTCCGTAGTCATAGGGAAAGCTAGAGTTTTCCAGGAAGGCGGCAATCTCTGAGTCGTCTAGCACTTGGCACTCACTCACCTGCAGGAGGAAGGGAAGAGGGAAGGGAGGCCATGGCTATGTAAAAGTCTCACAACCTCCCCCTTTGTGACTTGTGACTTCGATGAGGGTTTCTGTGAGCAGTTCCTCAGTAAGACAGGCCCTGAGGCCTGGAGCAGATCACGTAACTGTCAACACCTATCTTCCAGGGCTGCCCTTCCTGAGCTCTAGCTGCTGGTGACTTCCCTTTTCAAAGTCCGTGTCTCTTCATTCTTCTGGGCCGTCTCATGGGCCCAGGGACCCTGGGTGGAAAGAAGAGCTTCCCTCTGGGGCCCAGAGCCCTCCTGGCTGCCTCCTCTCTCTCCCTTTGCTCTTCCTTCATGGCGTGCCAACCTCGGCCCGGCCACGCCCAAGTCTACCACCTGCCTCACGCGTCTCCTCACTGGTCCCTCTCCCAGTCACTGGCTCCTTCCTTCCCTCCTAGCTCTTGTTGGGAGCATCATGGGGCATGTCCACAAATCACTGTGCCCCTTCCCAAGTGTATGCTTTCTGCCCTGTGCTTCCTGTCCCCTCCACAGAGGCTTGCATGCCCACTCAGCTGCCCACTGGGGGTCTCTAGAAGGCCTCTTCTTCTTTCTTTCCTCCTCCTCCTCCTTTTCCTTCTTTCTTCCCCTCATCCTCCTTTCCCCGCTCCTCCTTTTTCCATCCTCCTTTTCCTGCTCCTCTTCTTCCTTTTCTCCTCCTACCTCTTCCTCTTTTTTTTTTTTTTTTGGTTTTTCTCTGGTACCGGGAACCGAACTCATGACCTTGCGCTTGCTAGGCAGGCCCTTTGCCACTGAGCTAAATCCCCAGCCCCTCTACCTCTTCCTCTTAATTCCTCCTCCTCCTCCTCCTTTTTTTTTGGATTTTGGAGACAGGGTCTCGCTATGTAGTTCAGGCTGGCCTTGAGCTCATTATGTGGTCCAGACTTCCTCCCTCTTCTTCTTCTTTTTTTTTTTTTTGGTACCGAGAATCGAACTCAGGACCTTGTGCTTGCCAGGCAGGCACTTTGCTGCTGAGCTGTATCCCCAGCCCTCCTCCCTCTTCTTGAGATGAAGTCTCCTTCTGCTTTCCAGGCTGGTTTTAAACTCCTGGCTCCTTCCGTGTCAGTCTCTGGACTAGCTGGGACTCCAGGTGCACCGCCACGCACAGCTGGCAGGGATCGTCTTTCCCCCCTCAGTCCCTCCCCGAACCACCCGAGCTGCAGGCCTCCCCAGTGCCAATTCAAACGAGATGCAAGAGCCAAAGCTCCAAGTCAGAGCTGAAAGGAGACTCAGAGGTCAGCAAGGCTGAGCCTCTTCTTCCCCAGCACCCCTGCCTTTTAGAAGTGAGGTGCCCAAGCCAGAGTAGGGGAGGGCACTTACCTGTGGTCAGTGGCCAAGCTGGTCAATTCCCAGTTCCCTAGCTAGTGCTCCTGTCACAGCCCCTGCAGCCTCCACCTGCTCCCTCCATCAAGCTTCTGGTGCCCCCTGGGCTCTGGACCAGCCCTGGCCTGTCCCTAGTGCCCCGAAATGGCCATTCTGAACAGTGCCCTGGCGGAGCTGGGCAGCACTTACCAGGACCATGGTTGCACTGGCGCTCTGGTGGCTGGGCTTGTGTGCTGCTTGCCCTTCTGCCTTGGTGCTTGCGGTTGGGAACCTGCAGTGCACAGAGGAAGTGAGGGTTTCATGCAGTTCTCGGCACAGCCTCTTCCAGAGGCTGGAAGATCTACAGACCTATCTAGACCCAGGTCACAGAGTTCCTACCTCAGCCATTCCGGTGACTGGGTGAAGCCTTTCTGGAGGAGCTGCCGTGAGCCTAGGACCAGAAAGCCTGGGCCCTAGGGAAAGGCACGGGGTGGTTGGGTGGGGGGAGGTCCTTCTGGGGGGGAGAGATCTAAAGAGGAAGCCACGCAGTGGGGAGAGGGGGGTAGCCCTGCTGCCAGGGGCAGGAATTGCTCCTCCTCCTGGTCAGTGCTTCGTGAGTTAGCTGATGTGCTCATCAGTCCGGGACTGGAGTTAATCTCTACGTGCCTGCACAGACTGAATCACAGAATGTGTTGCCTGTAGAGGAGATTAGCCTTCTTGCAAAATTAAAATATTTTGAAGAAATCCTTCACCCCAAATCTGTCTAGTTCTTTCCCATGCCCTTCCCCAATAATCAACAGGAGAAAGGAAAGGAAACTGTTAATAATGAACCTGCTACGTGCTAGATGTTGCTTTACGTCCTTTCTCCGACACTGCCTCGTTCCAAGTACACGAGTGCCTTGTGACGTGGCGGGCTGTCCCCATGGGAACGGGGAAAGGCCTGCATCAGACACGCAAGTGTGGGTGAGCTTGGGGGCCGAGCCCACGACGGTCTGACTCTCCTTTTACCACTCATCACACTGCCTTCTGTTTCTTTTAAATGGCTAAACTGATAATTCACCCAGCCAAAAACCAAATGAAGTGAAACCACATATTTTTAACATGGATGCATCTAGACAAGCGGTTGCTCACAAGAGGGATGAGGCAAGGTGTAGAACAATGTGTGTAGTCTGACACCCCTTATGTAAATTCTGGAAACCACCACATAAGACAACACCATATTGTTTTGGATACAAGAATAACTTTGTTCTCAAAGTTTAAGACAAAGACGAGAGACCACAAATTCACAACAGCACTTGCTCCTGGGGTGTGAAGAAGAAGGAGGTTGGGGAGGTGTGCTGATTTTAGGGAAAAGCTACAGGGCGGTGTGAGTCCACCAAATCAATCCCCTCATGAGGGCCGAGAGGTGCGGAACAATTCCTCTTCCACCTCCCCGCAGCTCGCCTGCTCCTCACCTCCTTCCCCATTGCCCTGTTTTTCCCCTGAGCGGGCACGGCCAGCCCTAACATGCCTCCTCCAAGCAGTTGCCTCATTCTCTCTCTCCCCCAAATGCTAGCCCGTGGCCTCCGAGCCCGGTTTCGGCTGGATGCTCTGCCAAAGGCTCCAGGCTCCTGTCTGGAATTTGGTTCCAGCGTGCTGACATGACTCGTCCAGCAGCAAGGCCCTTTCCCTCCTCTTGTGCAGAGATGAGCCGCTTTGCTCTGAAACAGCTTGTCACCAGCAGAGTTCAGGCCAGAAGGAACTGAGGGCCTGGGGGAGCAGTGCGAAAGGAGGGGACGGGGAGGATTTCTGATACCAGGCCAGCTGGGATGTAGAACGCAGAAAGAGCTGACTATGGGGGTGGAAAATGGATAGGAGCTGAGACCATGGGTTCCCCATGCTGGTCTGTAACAGGTTTGAGATCACTGAATTTCTGCAAATGAGAAAAATGACCACAAACCCTTTTTGGTATTAAAAAGACCTTTGCTTTGTGAAAGAATGATATAAAAATAGTTGTTTTAGAAATCTCTTGTGCTGCGCCAGGTGTGGTGGTACACGCCTGTAATCCCAGCACTTGGGAGGCTGAGGCAGGAGGATCGTTGTGAGTTTGAGACCAGCCTGGGCTACAAAGTGAGCTCAAGTCCAGCCTCAACTGCATAGCGAGACCCTGTTGCAAAAAGACCAAAAAAAAAAAAAAAAAAAAATCTTGTGCTGGCAGAAGTTGACAGTCCAATGTGAGTCCTCCAAATAGATGTTGGAATATTACTGGTCTGTGTGAAATATTAAGGTCTGGGGGTCCCTGGTCTTCTTCCTGGGCTCCAGTCTCCTTGTGTTGAGGAGCCCCACCTTCCCAGGTTGTGAGGAAGGATACACAGAAGGTCAGAGCAGGAGCTTTGAAAAGATGCGGAGAACTTTCCTTGCCGAGTCCCAACATCCAGTGCCAGGACCAGCTCCTGACAGACCAGCCTGGGCTCTTGCTGCTCCTGGGGGTGACCTGAGTGACAGTGATGCAAAGGGAAAAATGCTGAGTTTGTCTAGACTCCAGGCGTGGTTCCACCTCTTTTGAGCTGTGTGACTCTGGACAAATCACAGAACCATCTTGAGCTGGTTTCCTCAGCAGGGTTGTTAGAAGAGAAATCAGATAACCAAGGCTGAAGGCTCCTAGCGCAGGGCCAAGTGCTTCATAGGAGCACAACTGAAAAGCTGAACGAGTGAGACAGCGGCTGTAGACCGAGGGCCACCGGGAATCTTTCATGTCGGGGGCGGTTGTGACAGATGAGTAGGCATGGCAGTGGCTGGAGGCCTGGAGGCCGCTGGTTTGGACCGGGTGGGGAGCGAGTTCTCCAGCGCTAGCCAAACCCTCTGGCTGCCTAGCTGGGTGATCCTAGACGAACCATTGCACCTCTGTGCTTCAGTTTCCTCATCTGAAAAATGGATCTAAGGATAGTACGCATTGGATAGGGTTACTCTGGGGACCACGAACATTTCCTGGGAGGCGCAGAGAGGCGCCCGTTGCGCAGCCGTCTCCTTCCTATCTAGTAACTTTCCAAACTGACCCCTCCTGAGCCTCAGAGCAGCAGCTCTGTGGCGGCCTGACACGCCTTGGAAACTCCCTCTGTCATGGGGCTGAGCTGAGCCCTTGTCTGGCCCTCTAATTTGGTCCTTTCCAGTCCCGAGCGGCCCCCAGAGCAGGTCAGAACCAGGCCCAGCCCTTGGGGAGAGCAGGGACCTAGGTGCGAGTGCTGGTCGCACCCTCCCGCTTCTCCCCTCCAGAAGAGTCAGCAGGGAAGCCTGAAGCGGAAGTTAGTCAGAACGAAGCTGCTCCGGGCCCCACCTGTGGTCAAGGTGTGAAATGTGCACCTGGCTCCTCTCTGCAGCCCCTCCCCCTGTTATGTTCATTCTTTCACACCTCGGGGCTGTGGTTTGGGGAGATGGGAGGCTCAGAGATATGAGCCCCGGCCCCAGACCCTCACAGGAAGGGGCCCCGCAGCGCTCTGCCGGGCCAGTCTGCCAGGGACAAGGGCCATTTCATCCTCTCCCTCGCAGTCCTTTCAATGTCCCCCAGGTAGCCTGCTCTGAAATCCCCTGGATGGCCACCAGACTGAATTGTCAGAGGAGCAGACTCAGCCAGGCTGGATGTCCCCTGGGGCTCAGGCAGGGGCTGGCTCAAGTTACTGGGAGGCCCAAGGACTGGGCCCTGTCCCTTCCTCTGTCCCTTGTTGGACAGCTCAGAATCCTGCCGGGACTCAAGCCCTCTCCGAGTGCTGGGGCTACGGGCTGGGGCCCAGAGAGTGCAGAGGGCGGGATGGTCCCTGAGCCCAGTGTGCTGGCGCGGTGACAAGAGTGGTGACATCTGCATCTTGTATTGCCTTGGAATCTCCAGGATGAGGCCCAACGGGGTGATCCGAACAGCTGACACGTGCTGATTACTTAACAGTGTGCCAGGCACTGTTCCAAGTGTACTGTTGGAAAGAATTCACTTAATACCCCTCACTATGCAGTAACTATGAGGTTGTTATCATCCCTATTGTACAGGTGACAGAAACAGGAAGTTTAAGGAACTTGCTCAGAGTCGCATAGCTGGTAAGTGGCAGGGGCGCCGTGCTCCTACCTGTCATGCTGTAATGTCTCATCAGGTTTGAGGGACTGGGATAGAGGGTGGCGTTCAAACACGACCACTCTGGGCTTCTCTGTAACGTTTTACATAGAAACTGCACTCACCTATTAGCTGTGTGACTAAATAGCCATCAAAAGGAGGATAACCTGAGTGTGATGGCGCACACCTGCAATCCCAGCTACTAGGGAGACAGGGAGGAGGACCACAAGTTCGAGGCCAGCCTGGCTAACTTAGCAAGAGCCTGTCTTAAAGTCAAAAATAAAACAGAACTGGCAGTGTAGCTGAGTGGTAGAGTACTCGCCTAACATGTGCTAGGCCCTGAGTGCCGTGCCCAGTACTGGTAACAAAAGAAAGAAAGGAGGATGAAAACAAGCTCAAGGAGTAGGCCAGTCGGTAAAATTTGAATCTGGCCCATGATGAGACACAAATCTTGCATTCCTGCTGTTTTGCTAATTTTGCTAATGTCGGAGAATGTCCTTGTTTGTCGGAAAAGTACACTGAGGTGTTGAGGAGCAAAAGGCCTCATGTCAGCTGCTTACTTTACTCCGAGTGAGAGAGCACACACAAGGAGAAAGCAAGGGCAGCTTTTTGTACAATTCTCGAAACTTCTCTGTAAGTTTGAAGTTATATCAAAAATAAAAGTTACCAAAAGATTTTCTCCATGCAGGATGAGTTCGGGGTCCGATGCTTTTCCTAGGAGCAGCTTTGAAGCCTGGAGAACGGAAGGCGAGGCCAGAGCTGCCTGGGAACAAACGCTTCGTGGCTGTGGCCCCTGGCAGAGCTCCCTGCCGCATTCATTCCCCACCTCTCCTCCCTGTGGCCTCAGTCTGGGCTTCCAGAATCCCGGCTTCTTCCCTCTTCCGCTGTCTGGCCCGCTTTCCCTGAAGCCGTTTGAACCCTGACCCCCATCTGGAAGGCATGGCCAGTGCAGGATCCCTTATACTGTCCACGCAGGCACTCTCAAAGATAGGCTGTGTCTGAGGCTCCCAGGGTGACCTCCACCTTGGCTCAGACTCTCCGAATAGCAGGGATGGGGGCTGAGTCCTTCAGAGGGTGTCCCAAGCTGCGGGTCTGAAGGCTTCTTGACAAACTGCAGTGGCCTGCAAAGCTGGGCGAGGCCCGACAGGAAGAGTGCCCTCCCTGAGCAGCAGGGAGTCTGGGCTGGGCCGGGGCCGGGGTTCTTGGCTGCTGCTGAGGTCCAGAATGTCACCGAAGCTGTGCGCTGTTTTCCTGCTCCATACCATTCACAGAAAACCGCACAGCTCTGGGAGAAGGCAAGACATTTTACAAAGCGGCCAGTGAATGCCACTTTCTGAGGAAGTCCTCTTTTTTCTGGAAGTTGTCCTTTTGTTTTTTGGTACCAGGAGTCAAACTCAGGGCCTTGTGCTTGCCAGGCAGGCGCTGTACCGATGAGCTA